TTAAAAGAATAAAAAAGTAAAAAGTGAAAAAGTTAAGATTTAAATACTGAAAAGCCAATACTGAAAAAATAGGAAGTAATTATGAACTTGCCCCCCCCCCCCTCACTACTCCTCTCTTCTACAACATTAATATTCACACCCCTGTTCCCCATGGGCTAACTGCCAGTCAAAACGCTTAGCACACCGGCTTGGTCCCTTTGAGAGACAATAAAACTGAAATATCCAACAAGCTTAATACGTTACACCCGGCTCTGCACTCTCAACTTACACTTTTCATAACAAAGAGGAAATACAGGGCAAACAATACCTAAATGTCGACTAATTTAAACTTTAAAATATTAAAATCAAAATCAAATTTAGTATGAAAAAAAAAAACATAAAACTTTTAGTTTTAAGTAGAAGAGAGGTTAAAAAAAATTTCTTCTTTAATTAATATATCCCAAATTTTACATTAGAGAAATAGAGGTACAGAATAATTTTTGTTAGCAGGGTTTTGAAAATTAACTTGTTAATTGAAAATGTGTCTGGTTCACTCAACAAGTACTATTTTTCATACAGAGTCAACAGTCGTCTTCCTTTTCCACAATTTTATGGATCCCACTTTATTATGTGTTCATTCTACAGAAAAGTAGAGCAATGAGCATATATCGGTTTGACCAAGAATACACTGTTCTGCGGTTAGATGAAGCATCAAAGATACATAAAGACAGTTTGCCTCGAGGCAATTACTTAGGGTAGGGGTGAGTAGGGGAGGGTAAGGGTGAGAAGGGGAGGATAGAGGGGGGGGGAAGGATCCGAGAAAGAAGGGGGAAAGGGGTGAGTGTCCTTCAAGTTTCAAATTGAAATAACATTTTAAACTTCCAAATCTCACAGGAAAGGGTTGCAAGAATATTTTTTTTCAAAATAAAATTGTTCAATTTGTATCTTGGCATAAAAACATGTCTGGTGATTATATAATTTGCTTCTTAGTCTGTTTTATATCATTCCATAATTACTATAAAATGATTAAACCTAGCAGTCTCCCTGCATGGAAATGCGCAATTAACTTTTGTTGAGAAGCCACAATTGAAAATACTCAGTTTTCGAAATTTTGCTCATTGATTTAGACTTGTTCAGAAATTGTTATCATTATTATTACTATTATTCTTACTGTTCAAATTGGTAAGTATATAAAATTAATAAATATATAAGAAAAGAAATATTAAAATCATATCAATTCTATATATTACACTAGTTGGTTTAGAAAATCAATTGAAATAAATCGTTTTGAAACCTTGTAATTACCATTAATGACGTTTCTTCCAGTTGTTAGCACACAGTAGCTTTCCTTTTATTCAGATTTAATAACAGATATTTTACAATTGACTGGAACAGTTCAGCTTTCTATGTAATTGTCTTATAGACTACATTTTCTTATTAGTGTAAGATTTTAGCTTTAGATTTTAATTTGAAGTCAAGTGGTAGTTTTTGTTGTATCAAAAAAGGCCTTAAGTTGCGGTGCATTGGAGGGAAAGTAATAAATAGAAATTTAAGAAAAAATTGGTTAAAAGACATGATATTGAAAATTTGCGAAGTTTTATTTTCCTAATTCGAAGAAAAAAGTGACCAAGTTACCAAGTGAACAAGTGACCAAGTGTATGTACATAAGTGACCAAGTGACCAAGTGCACACAAGTGACCAAGTGTACACAAGTGACCAAGTGTACACAAGTGACCAAGTGTACACAAGTGACCAAGTGTACACAAGTGACCAAGTGTAAACAATTGACCAAGTGTACACAAGTGACCAAGTGTACACAAGTGACCAAGTGTTCACAAGTGACCAAGTGTACACAAGTGACCAAGTGTACACAAGTGACCAAGTGTACACAAGTGACCAAGTGTACACAAGTGACCAAGTGTACACAAGTGACCAAGTGGAACTGTACACAAGTGACCAGGTGTACACAAGTGACCAAGTGTACACAAGTGACCAAGTGTACACAAGTGACCAAATGTACACAAGTGACCAAGTGTACACAAGTGACCAGGTGTACACAAGTGACCAAGTGTACACAAGTGACCAAGTGTACACAAGTGACCAAGTGTACACAAGTGACCAAGTGTTCACAAGTGACCAAGTGTTCACAAGTGACCAAGTGTTCACAAGTGACCAGGTGTATACAAGTGACCAGGTGTACACAAGTGACCAAGTGTACACAAGTGACTAAGTGAACACAAGTGACCAACTGTACACAAGTGACCAAGTGTACACAAGTGACCAAGTGACCAAGTGTACAAGTAAACAAGTGCACAAGTATTGTAAACAAGTGCACTTCAGAATTATGAACGAGTGCAATTTAAAAGAATAAAAAAGTAAAAAGTGAAAAAGTTAAGATTTAAATACTGAAAAGCCAATACTGAAAAAATAGGAAGTAATTATGAACTTTAAATAAGTAAATATCAATGAGTGACATTAATGTTGAAATACCTCAAAATAATCGAAAATATTGAATTATTAAGTTCTATCAATTATATATAATTAGTACCAAGTTAAAAGTTTGAAAGCGCATGCAATTAAGATAGTTTAAGATTATGTCAAAATCAAGGTGATATTTTTCCATAAAAGTAAATCCACCCCCCCTGAACATGGAACTTAAATAACCCGTTAAAATCTTGAACGTTTAAAAGCACAACATTTAACATCTTGCAAAAAAAGTTGTATACTTCGTTTTGTAAAATACATGCACACAATAATATCAGAATAATGTAAGTCGATTACTTACCACCTTCTGTAGCAACAAAAATAATATCTTTTTAAAAAAATTATTTTTTCATATTTCACACAATAAAATTTGACTATCTTAATCTACACCAAGAAAGTAAATAAAGAGCCTGGATTTTCATTGTTTACAAAAAGCAAGATTTTTTCTACTTTTATTCTGGTTTGAATATATATATGTATATAAATGTGTTTTATGCAGATTTCTTTATTCCTTTTCTTGATCTTAACTAATCCAAGAGGTCTCATCAATAATTCAAAATAATCCAATATTCACATCGACCAAGATTTCTAAGAGAGTAATTTTAACATATATTTTTTAAATCTAGATGAGACGTCCTTTTTGCAAAATGTTCTAAGACAATTAAAGCTTTAATAAAATTTATTCTTGTCAATATGATTTTCGAACATACATAAAATTTTGTGCTTTTGACTTTTTGGAACTAAATTTTAAAAATCAGAATTTTTTAAAAATTGGCCAAAACATATTAATATATTTTCAGGGTAAAAATTAATTAAATATTTTCATAAAATTATTAGTTTGTTTAAATACGGAAAAATGTTATTTTAATGTATGAGCGGTGGAGCACCCCCCCCCCTCTTGCGCCAAAAAAAAAACAGGAAAAGCTATTGCTAGTGCTTAGATCGTGATCCGGGAAAATCTAGGGTGGATACGCTCTACCCAGTCAACCAACCCAACAGGGTTAAATATCAATTCTAAAAATTGACTAATGAATTTTTTCAAAACTCAAATTACAAAAGGATTTTTTACAATTTTTAAATACAATTTCATTTGAAAAAATAAATTTTATGTCAAAGCATTTAATTGATTCCCTGTATTACGATCTAGTAAATTAAATTAGACATAATATGTATAATGCCGCATTTTACATAAAAAAAAACAGTTCCTTTATTCACATGTCTTTCACTGTACAATGTACACTGTACAGTCATCCCTGTACACTTTGCAGTGATTCCTGTTACTGAATATTGTATAGTGTACAAAATATATGACTTAGTGGTCTAAACTAAGTAACAGCGGAATAATTAAACGTAATTTAAATCAATGTTTTACTTTAAGACATGACTAGGAAACCTAAAAGTTTAGTATTTATTCAAGGGAAAATTAAAGGAACTGTGAATGTAATTTTAAGTGAACCTTAATTGATAGAGTGCCATGTACGATGTACGTACATGCTTTTGTTCTTGAAAACTTAAAATTTTCAATTGTGGTTCCACTTGCGGTAATTGCTTAGAACACTTTGAAACTTGATAAAAGAACTGAACACTCTTATTTTTCAACTCCCTATATCTTTGCAACCTGAAGGAGTAAGCCGTTGATTACCTTAACTCAATCTAGCAGAATTTACTTAATTAATTAATGTTAAATAATTTTTTTAATGGATCAGCGTGCAAAGATTTAGGACTCAGAAAATTGGGGTGTTGAGCAGAGTTTTAGATTTTCCTACCTTCTTCCTCTGAGAGCTGGATCCCCGCAACCTTCTTACACATGGAGAGGAAGGCCATGAAGTATTCTGTCATCGTATCCTCGTATTTAGCCTCCAACCGGGATAATAGGCGGAACCTAGATAAAATTTTTTAAATATTTTTACAATTAAAGGGATTGTAAGATTCAAAAGACCCTCCAAGAAAAGATCCAATTTACAACGGTATCATTAAAAGCTTTGTCTGATAAAGTATGAATTAGATATCCATGTTTTTGTTTCTTTAAACTGTTAACTTTTAGTTGCGATTTTTATGCTACAGTGCACTCACATTTCTTACCTAAAAGAAACACTCGAGAAATTCTAAGAAATTACGTAATTTTCCAATTTTTTTATCAAATTAAAGTTTCTAGTGTACCATTGTAAATCAGACATTTGCTTGTAAGGTCACTTTAAATTAAGCTCAAGGGACTGTTTATCTATTTTAATTCACATTTAATACCAAACTTTCATATTCAATATCAAAACTAAGCCTAAAAGATGTTTCATATCCGAAATTGGGAATAATTTGAACAGTCAAGTTTTAAATATTTACCATAAAGTAAAAATAAAAATCTCTTTTTTATTCGCTCTGGAGCTTGTGCGCAACTACCCTCCTCCCCCCCTTTCCTCCTCTTTGATATTCAAGAGAAACTTAGCTAGAAATCTATTTGAGAGAAGAAGAAAATTCATTTCATTTGTTTGTTTCAAAACTAACCGAGGTTGGACCTTATTTACCAGGTTTCAGGGTAGAAGGGAGGGGGGGAGGGGGGAGGATTCAGATGGAAAATTTGATTATTTCTAATTCAACTAATTCAAATCAATTCAAGAAAATAATAATTGGTATTTAATTTTTTTAATTTGCTTTAAATCAATTGTAAGAAATCTGCCGAAATTTTTTTTTGATGCGTGTAAAAAATATTATTTTTGAGAAGAGAAACGGATGTTGAGTTCAATATTCTTTCTAACTACCAAAAAAGCGAAACAAATCAGAACCCAAACTTGGCGGGTTTTAAAAGTTTTGCCAAATGAGACAAGTTTTTCAAAATTGAATTTTTACTAAAATAAACACCAAATCCTGAAGTTTCCCGAATGGAGAAATATCCAAGTTTTCTATTCACAACAAGTTTTAAGCCCCCGCCTTCTCTCTACCCTTTTCATGATAATAAACGCAAAGTAAAATTAGAAACATCCGCGAACCTGTCCCAATTGTATTTGTTTTCCTTCTTGTCTACTCCGAATGCAAGAATAGTTCTCAAAAAGTTTCCTTCCTCGCGTCTACTCCATTTACGCTGCTGCTGGTCAACCTAAAGCAATCAATCAATCAATTAATTTTTAGTTCGATCAAAAACCGCATTTTTCAACTTAATAATATGAAAAGAAAGGTTTCCTTCATGCGCCAATTTGGAAAATTAGTAAATTAGTTCTCGACAGTGGACATCCTAATTCCTAATTTGGACAAAAAATTTGGCCAGTTGGATAAAATAACTTCCAATGCAGAGAAAAAAAACCCTACAATTTCAGATGAAAAACGTGCATATTCGAAGTGAAACCCCGTACTTTAATACAGAAAATCCACCAACCTGAAGGGAAAACCACCAATTTGGATCTAAACTTGCCAATTTAAACAAAGGATGAACCATATGATATGGCCGTTTTAGAATGAATAAAATTAGTTTATTGTTTTCATCAGTTATATACCTTCTGCTTTTCACGTTCTCTCATCACTTGTTCTATTCTTTCCCGTCGTTCTTCCCGCTTCTCCTATAATAAAATAATACATGAAAGAACAATGGTGTATTTTTTCCCGTCTCTCTTCCCGCTTCTCTTTTAATAAAATAATACACGAGAGAACTGTTTTATTATTTTTCGTCGTTCTTCCAGCTTCTCCGATAAAAAAATAATACATATAAGAAATGTTGTGTATTCTTTTCCGTCGTTCTTCCTGCTTCTGTAATAAAATAATACATGAGAGAACTGTTCTATTCTTTCCCGTCGTTCTTCCCGCTTCTTTTGTAATAAAATAATACACGAGAACTATGGTGCATTCTTTCCCGTCGTTGTTCCCGGTTCTCCTATAATAAAATAATAAACAAGAGAACTATGGTGTATTCTTTCCCGTCATTCTTCCCGTTTCTCCTATAATAAAATAATACACATAAGACTATGGTGTATTTTTTCCCGTCGTTCTTCCCGTTTCTCCTATAATAAAATAATACACAAGAGAACTATGGTGTATTCTTTCCCGTCATTCTTCCCGTTTCTCCTATAATAAAATAATACACATAAAACTATGGTGTATTTTTTCCCGTCGTTCTTCCCGTTTCTCCTATAATAAAATAATACATGAGAGAACTATGGTGAATTGTGATTTGTATTCCAGACCCAGGTTGAAGTTTGATGAGAAGATTCTACTCTTCTCTCTCAATACAATCTAGTTTAAACAGAATAGATGCCAGTATGTGTCAGTAAACCCTTCATTCATGTTTTAAAAGTAAGAATTTAAACAGTTTTTATGTTAAATATTTTAAACAGAACGTAATCAACAAATTCATTAAATATCCACAAGTGTAGAGTTTTTTTTTTTTTAAATGATACTATTTTTTAGTAACCTCTAGAAACAATAACAGATTAGCTTTAGAAGAAACTTGAATTCAAGATTTAGGACAGACCACAAGTACAAATAATATATTGTTTGTAAATAAGTTTGTGTTGTACAAAATGTATGGTATTATTCAAGTGCTTTGCTTTTAGCAGCTACAGGAACAGTTGTATTTTTTGTCTGACTGAAATAAAAAAATCAAGGATTTTGATATAATTGTTTCTTGTAATTATGGCGGATGGTCGTAATGACACCTTGTAAACTAAACCGTAAGCTATAGGTACAGGTGAATTAATAGTAGGCTTGCAACTAAATGAATTGATGCTAGTTAAGGTGGGCTGGGGGGGAAGCAAGGGACTGTNGGGGGGGCAAGTTTATTCGTCAAGGATGGATGATTCTGATAATAACATAGGAAAACAGATCAAAATTGTTATTGTAATAAATAAGAGTCAGGTTAAGAAAATACTCAAGGCTGTCCATAAAAACCCCTCAAAAAGAACTAACTTATAAAATATTTTTTAGTATCCGGAAACGTTCATTAGGAACTAAACTGATGGAGCAATAAAGAACGTGTGGAGACGACATAAAGAGACTTGATTTTATTCTGAGTAAGATAAATTGCTTTGCATACTAATTCCGAAAAAAGGTTAATATTCACCTTAACTTTACAAAAAAAAGGATATCAATTGAGCTTAGATTTTTGAAAAGGATACGCGCTGCTCCGAATGTAAGTTCCCTAGTAAGATTATAGAGGATATATTTCTACAGTCAATGATGTAGACATGTTCATGAGCCCGTAAATTAGGGAAAATGCCGCGCAAGAGGGAAAACAAATTTAAACTGACCTTCGCAGCAAGTCTGGCTTCCTCCTTCTTACTCTCCCTCTGGAAAGCTGAGACTAGTTTTCTAACCCTGGAGTTGAGCAGGGAATGATCAGGAAAGGGAAGAAACTCTGAATCATTGACCTCGTCCTCGTGTTTGGATGATGGAGGCTGTGAGCTGGGTCTGGAGGGAGTAGCACTAGAACTATCCTCATCCTCGTCATCTAGTCCTCCTTCTATAGGTTTATTCAGGTTATCCAACTCAGCCTTAACAATAATAAATTTAAAGGAATTGTTAACGAATTTAACTTGTAAATTTATTTAGATTAAAAATCCAAAAATAATATTGATTCTTTAACGATTCTTCCGTTTTGATTGACCAGAACTATCCAGGACTGTGGGTTTAAGAATGTATTGTTTAACTTGTAATCGGTTGCAAGCTTTTCATTAAAAAATCCTCAAATTGATTTTATGTTTTTCGTGCAAAACTTTTAATTAATTGCAAATGTTTCAAGAATTTCTCAGATTTTAGCAAAAAGAAAATAAATTTTAATCCATACATTTCAGTAAAACTTGTTTATTAAAATTTTTAAAAAGATTCTGAAAAAGGATAATATTTCCTTATGTACTGCAAAGTATTGTTCAGGTACTGAAGATTATTGATTATTTACATTGTACAGGGTACTGTTATGTACTGCTAAGTATTGTTTATGTACTGCAGAGTATTGTTTATGTACTGCAGAGTATTGTTTATGTACTGCAGAGTATTGTTTATGTACTGCAGAGTATTGTTTACCTGTACTGCAGCATTGTCTGGAGGTCCGCACCGAGACAGGAAGCAAAGTCCGGAGTCAAGACGCATCATGTTGTATCTCTCGAACCCATGTCGGACGGTTCCGATGAGCAAACTCTTATCTGCATTAGTATCCCACCATCCGGATACAAACCCTTCCGTCCCAGGGATATTGATGATAACCTAGACAAAAGGGATTTCGCTATGTTTCCAAACATTGGTTTAAGAATAAAGAAGCAAAATACATAAGTTAAAAGAAAAATTTGTAATTCTAAAATTAATGTCTTTGTGTGATTTTCATTTTCATTATGAAAGTTTTAATTTTTTCCTGTTTCCTTGAGTATAAGGATAAGAAAAATCAACGATTTTGGCAAACTTTAGCTTTAAACTATACTTCACTGATTTAACAGTTTAGGAACAAGGAGGGGGAGATTTAGTAAAGAAAAGGTAAATTGATGAAAGAGAAGGCAGATTATTAATTTAAGAGAAGATATATTAATGAAGAAGAAGGTAAATTAATGTAAGAGAAGGGAGATTAATGTAAGAGAAGATATATTAATGAAGAAGAAGGTAGATTTATGTAAGAGAAGGGAGATTAGTGTAAGAGAAGATATATTAATGAAGAAGAAGATATATTAATGTAAGAGAAGGGGGATTAATGTAAGAGAAGATATATTAATGAAGAAGAAGGTAGATTAATAGAAGAAAAGGTAAATTGTTGAAAGAAAAGGTAGATTATTAATTAAAGAGAAGATATATTAATGAAAAAGAAGGTAGATTAATGTAAGAGAAGATATATTAATGAAGAAGGTAGATTAATAAAAGAGAAGGTAAATTGATGAAAGAGAAGGTAGATTATTAATTAAAGAGAAGGTATATTAATGAAGAAGAAGGTAGATTAATAATAGAGAAGGTAAATTGATGAAAGAGAAGGTAGATTAGTGAAAGAGAAGGTAGATTAATGAAAGAGAAGGTAGATTTAGGAAAGAGAAGGTAGATTTATGAAAGAGAAAGGAGGTAAGTGAAAGAGAAGGTAGATTAGTGAAAGAGAAGGTAGATTAATAAAGAAGAGGGTAGATTAATGTAATGAAGAGAGATTAATTAAAGAGAAAGGAGATAATTGAAAGAGAAGGTAGATTAGTGAAAGAGAAGGTAGATTAATGAAAGAGAAGGTAGATTAGTGAAAGAGAAGGTAGATTAATGAAAGAAAAGTTAGATTAATGTAAGAGAGATCTCTATTTCTTGTTAATCTGCAGATTAATTAAATCTGTATTCGATATTGTACACTGAAAGAAAACTAAAATCAAGTGATTAAGAACCTTAAATTAAAAGTGCCCACAGTGGATATAGAGAATAAGCGAGTATTCAACACAATAGTTCCCAGCTCTGATAGGTATTCTCCCACCAAGTGATAAGGTAGATGGTTTCAGAGTACCGAATAGTTTAGAGCATGATGAAGATAAAGTTACCTTTTCAGCTGGAGATGCTGGACTGGAGATTTCTTCTAGAAAATCTCCCAGTATCTCGTGTTGAATATAGTAGAGTAAACGAACTCGGAGTAGAAGCTTGTTGTTGTATCTAAACAAAATTATTTAAATATCTTCCTCATATCTTTTAACTTTTAACGAAAAAATACACTTTCGTAGACATCAAAATAGTTATGACTAAAAAAATTAAGCATCCTTTGCTGAACTTTGATTTTCCTAGATTTCAGGCAGCTAGGCTATTTAATTAGAATAAACTGAACTTTACTTCAATAAACGAGAACTTTCTAACATAAAATTAGTTGTCTGTAAAAAGTAGTTTGACTAACCTATCTAGATGCTTTCTGTAACTTTTATCCAGGAAAAGTTCTGGTTCGTATTTCTCTTCATTCGCCCACTCCGCCCAATCCGGTTTATCCTCCTTCTTCGGCTTCTTCCCCTTCCGCCCCCTAGGGACAGGGGCGGAGAGGCCGGAATGGTTCTTGGACACGGTGTTTCCCCGTCCTGGCGATATCAACTCCCAGATAAATGTTTTGATATTCTCATCACCTCGGTAGGTTTGCAGACAGTACAGAAGAGATAAGCGTACTGCATCCTACAAAATAATAATTTTTGCAATTTAAAAAATATTATTTTAAAAAACAACATCAATAATCTTGTTATGAAATTCAATGAAATATGTATGCATCTGCTGTACGAATTATATTTGAGCATGTTAAAAACCTATTATGTACACTAAATTGTACATTAAACAATCATGAAGGCCATTTTATTGTACTTAAAATACTTGACTAAGTCTTATGAAGAACCAGGATTAAAAAAACTAATTTTCTACAAATGAAAAAGCTGAAAGGAAAACTTGAAGATTTAACAAATTTAATCGTTCTTTAATGAGTTCAAATAGTTGAATGGATTTTATATTGTTCTTATTATAAAGTAAAATTGTCCCGAGTATAGAAATTGTGTTGGATAGGGGTTGGGAATCTAATACATTAGAAAACTGAAGAAAAAATTGTTATAGGAGAGATAAAGAAAATTAGTGAAAAAAGTTTTAAGTAGAAAATAAAGAAAAGGGGGAATACTGAGATAGGGATCAAAATAATAAAAATCTAATTTCAACTTTTTATCATTATATCATTTTTTTATGGAAAAAAACATAAATATAAGAATCTAATATCGAAATTTTTATGGTAATTATACCTCAACGTCGTTGTTAGTCCACCCTTTTCTAAGCTGTGCGTGAGAAAGAACTTCCTCCCACCGACCCCAACCGAACGCCATGACACCCTTCTCCAGCCGGAACAGATCATTCCTGTTCCATGTTCCGTACTCGATATCCCTCTCGTCCTCCATGAAGTCCTCGTCCTCTTCCCAGACTGATCGCCGGCTTCGTTTACTCTTACTTCCAGTCTTTATGCTCTTACATTTATCCTAAAGGGCAAAGATTGAGATTATGAAAACAGGAGATATTCTTAAATGTCGTCTTCGTAAAATTTATATTTTCACAATCGTTATTATCCTTATGTTCACTGAACGCTAAATTTCAAATTGCATTTCAGACTGTAATAAAAAGACCATTGAGGGTACTTCTAGGTACATTTGGATACAGATTAAACAGGGGTACAAACAGTCTTTCAATGAGCGTAATAAGGGAGGAAAAAATCTAAAATAACTTAATTTTTTATCAGTAAGTATTCAATATTCATAAAGCGTAAAAAGGAAAAAATAGTACCTTGTGAGAACATATAAAATTATGTAAGTTATGATATGCCAAACACAGAAAAATACTAATATTTTTTATTCCTTTAGTATTCAATACCAACCTTGATCCTTTGCTCCCTTGATCTGGTTCCAGCAGGTTTCTCCGTATCGCTATCACTACTGGTATCCAGATCGGATACAGCAGCTGGACCCAACCCCTCCTGTCCACTCCCTCCGAACCTGTCGATCTTTCTCCGGTTCCTGGGCTCAACCATCATAAGCTTCATCGTCTCATCGATCTCCTCGATCTCTGCCTTCTTGGCCCACTTCTTCCAGAAGTCGGGATCGTCGATAGATATGTCTGTGGCTGAATCTGAGGTTGAGAATGTTGCTTTAGAGAAGGTTGACCCCTTCTCTTCCTCGTGAGTGATAGTTGTAGCACGTCGAGACAATATATCCTGAAAACAACAAATGTCAAAACTTGAAAAATTGTTTCTTGATAGCAGATTTATTTTAATTTTCAGTGTCTACGTGAGAAAGGTTGAACGCATAAAAAGCCCCAAAGTGCTCTTTCAGTATTAGCATGGCAGAGTCATCATATTAATAAAACTTCAAATTTTTAAAATCCTAATTTAAGAATGAACCAACCTCAATGTCTTCCTCGCAGAATTTATCTCCCTCATTATTATCATCCATGAGCACACCATACGCTCCCTTCTTGAGCAGAGTCTCCACCTCCTGCTTACTCAACGAGTTCCCGGCGCTTATTGCGTCCCGTCCTCCCTGGTTCGTGTTCATGCTCTGCAGGACGGCCTTGTCCAGACCTAGCTTGAGGCCGGCACGGTCCAACATCTCTCTCTCGTAGGTGTTCTTCGTCACAAGTCTGTAAATTTTTACCATCTTCTTCTGTCCTATCCTGTGGCAACGGGCCTGGGCCTGAGTTAAAAAAAAATAAGATTAAATCATTGACAAAATCAGTTATTTGAAAAAATTTCTAGGTTTTTGTCAGGCTTTTGTACAAACAATAAATCTTTAAAAAGATTTTACCAACAAAAGGAAATTTCAATGTTTATAAGAAAATAAGTTTTCCTGATGAATGATTTATTGCTTGCATAAAAGCCGACTTTGATCAGTGTCTACGTGAGAAAAGTTGGAACACATAAAAAGCCCCAAAGTGCTTTTTCAGTATTAGCATGGCAGAGTCATCATATAAATTATAATAAATTTGGTCTCCTTAGAAAAAGTGGACAAAAATATGCTTGAAAATTGTTGAATTGCATGATTTAAATTCTTTTTTAAATCTCAATGAATGAAATTATTACATCTAGTTTCTTCAAAGAAAAAGTTTTAACCAAGTTGCAGGAGAACAAAAAATTATACAATTTAACAACAGAAGCATATTTAAATTAATTTTTTCAAATTTTTAATTTTCACCTGTAGATCGTTCTGGGGATTCCAGTCGCTGTCATATATGATGCAAGTATCGGCGGCCGTCAGGTTTATTCCTAATCCACCGGCTTTTGTGCACAGCAGGAATACAAACCGGTCAGAGTCAGGTCTACAAAACCGGTCTATCGCCGCCTGACGCAGGTTACCACGAATCCGTCCATCAATTCGCTCGAACGGATACTTCCGTCGAATGAGATAATCCTCGAGAATATCCAACATTTTCACCATTTGAGAGAATATTAGAACACGGTTACCGTTGGATTTTAATTTGGGGAGAAGTTTGTCCAAGAGAACCATCTTTCCGCTGGCATGAACAAGAGCCTTGTAATATAGATCATCCTCGTCCGTATAGTCATTCTTCGTCCGACGGTAATCACTCTGTATCTGCTCCTCGGCGCCGTTCATGAGGTAGGGATGGATACAACATTTTCTCAACTCCATCATGGTGTTCATGAGGTTAGGTACATTTGCGTTGGTGGCGCTCTTCAAGAAGGTGAAGTTCTTCTCCAGGATTCCTCGATAGTATTTTTTCTGAATATTTGTAAGTTCGACCTCAACAATAGTTTCCTCTTTGGGTTTTAATGATTTCTCAACATCTTCCTTCATCCGTCGTAACATCAGGGGTTTCAGGATAGCTTGGAGTTTACAAACTTGATCTTCGTTCTGCATATCTCCGAAGTCTCGCATGAACTCTGTCATGGAGCTGAATTGAGCTGGTTCCAGGAAGGATAAGAGAGAAAAGAGTTCGCTGATGTTATTCTGAAGCGGGGTTCCGGAGAGGAGAAGACGGGCTTCTAGATCCAAGAGTTTTAATCCGTCCAACAGTTTGCACTTCTGGTTTTTCAACCGATGCGCCTCATCTATCACGCATGCCCGCCACCGTATATCCTTTAAATCCATAATATCAGTGATAATACATTCATATGTGGTGATCAGGACATGGAATTTAAACACTCCTTCCTGTCTCTCTCCGTCCTCGTTCTTGTAGTACATCTCGTACTCCTGGATCATGTTCCTGCTCGTCTGACTCCCGTGATACACGATCACATTGAGATCTGTCCAGAGTTCGAACTCCCTCTGCCAATTAGGGATTGTTGAAAGCGGAGCAATTACAAGGAAGGGGCCTCTGATCCCATACTTGTATATGGAGTGAATCCAGGCTAAAGATTGGATCGTCTTACCCAATCCCATTTCGTCCGCAAGGAGACAGTTCCTATGATTATACCAGGAAAAGTTCAACCAGTTGACCCCCTCGAGTTGGTACTCCCGGAGTGTGTTGTTATTGTTGAACTTCGGAGATTCAGACAATTCTTTCCATTCAGATTTACGAGGACGTTTCTTCTCCGTCCAGTCTTCGGCTGGAGGATCCTTCCAGCGAAGATAGTCCTTAATCTTGCTGGGGTCCACGTCAGCCTCCAGCTCCCAGGTGCAGTCCTCGTAGGGGAGGGATCTCCACTTTACCAGGTAGTGTTTAGTTGTTACCTAAACATATATGAAAGTTCAGGGAAATGAGAAATAACCCTTTTTCTTTTCATCAAAGAAATTTTTAAAAATTTCTATATGAATCCCAAAATCCATTTTTTTGTCATTTCAAAATCGACGGTTGCATTATTCTTCGAGGATCTTGGATCCGATTAAAAATAAATTGAAACCAACACTGCTGCTTTACAAACTAATGTTTTAAATTCACCATTCAAATATTCACAATCCAGCTTAAGAAGTTTATCAAGACTTACAGGTTTACTTTAATCTTTTCAACTTCACACTGGGCATTTTTTATCAAAAAATAGCCAAAGAAATGTCATATATTTGTGAACAATTAAAACTTGATTTAATACTTATACTCGAAAACGAATTATGCAAGATTTCTGTTCTAAAGAAGGTCACAGATTTTAAAACTAATTTTATATCTTTGAACTTGACATTCTTAAAAATGGCGTGTTTTTGTTAAGTATCGTTACCTTAGTTTCCTCGTCTGTATGCTCCGAAGCATCTAGAACTCTATCCACTTCGACATAATCAGGGTTAAAGGGTTCCTCCTCACAGAACTCAAGAACATTACCGCTAGACTGACGCTTCTGTTGGAACCGTTTAATCTTGGCAACAATCCTCTTGTCTCCGCGGAGTAGTTCCTGCTCCGTCAACCACTGACAATGCAGGTAGGAGAAGTTCTTAAACTTAACCAGGAATTCTTCCAGGTTAACAGTTCTAAATAATTATTTAAGTAAAAAAAAAATTATTTTTAGTAACCATCGCCGTTAAACGAGACCCATTTTACATATTCTGTAAACTATATTTAAAAAATATCTAATTTTCTAATTTGTCAATAAAAAAGACAAAATATCGTTAAATTCAATTTTTATTTTTAGGATTGAATGATTAATTATTAATTCAAACATTTCAAGTAAATTAAACAATTTCTAACGGAGTAAGATAACAAATTAAATATTTAATACCTGACAGGTTTCTTAGGCTTTTCAGGGGTAACATTTGGCACATTCTTATCATTCGACGATGCTGAGGATTTCTCCTCTTTTTCATCTTTCTCTTCATCCTCATTTTCTGTTCTAGATTCGTCTTCCTTTTCTTCCTTCTCGTCCTTCTCTTCTTCTTCTTTCTTTGCTTCAGACTTGGTTACTTCTTTATCTTCGGTTTTCATCATTTCTTCAGACTCTTCAATTTTGGTTTCAGTAGGTTTAGAATCCTCAGTCTTTACTTTCACCTGAAAAATTGAGTTTTTAATGATTTAATAAGCATGTTAAAATCGGATTTAAATCCTTAAAACATATTTGGCTGAATTTTGAAGATATAAAATGTTTGGAAGTTATGTAATAGGCCACTGTACAAAATTTTACTTTTAAAAAAAAAATATTTCCCGGCACTTCTTTATGCGAAGCCCCTTAATTAAACAAAAGTAAGTTTAAGCAAATAACACGTTAATACACACAAAGAAACAGCAAAGTAAAAATGTTTATTCTTGTTGCCTTGAACAGGAATATTAGTAAGTCTTGAAAAACGGGGAAACTGTTGAAAGCTTGAGTTTGCTTGAGTATAATTGAATATTAAAACTATAAACTACAGGAACTGTAGAATGCATCTAGAACAAACAAACTATAAACTTGGAACCAGTTAGAACTCGATAATACATGGAAGAACATTTTTATTTGCGATTAATCTTTGCGAGAAATGCCGAGTTTGGAAAATGGAAAAATAGGGTGTTCCTTAAATTAGGGAACATTTTCTAACAAGTGCTAATGAGCTCGCAAAATCAAAATTATTTAGCACAATTGAGAACGCACCATTAAGGACGCAAACATTCAAACATAGATTTAATATGATAAAATATAGATATTCAAATATAGATTAATATGATAAAAGTGCAAAAAATGTTTTTATAATAAAAGATCAAACCTTTTCGTTCTTCTCTTCGTCCTCGTCCTCTAGTTCTCTAGTCCCCATCCTGCTGGCCAGGATGAACTGGACTATCATGGTGTCCTCGGCAGTGGGGTCCTGAAAAATTTATATAAATATTCAACCATATAAGATTGTTTTGCAAAACCCCTATTTACAATTTGGAAAACTCGTTGTAATTAACAGAATTAATTAAGTTTAATAATGCATAACACTAACTAATAGAAATTCTAGTTTTGAACAATTATTTCAAAATTAATGAGTAATAAAATCAGTTTTAATTTGACTTGCTTTTTTTCAAAAAGGTTTTTAATAAATAAAATTTATATTTTACCACGAAAGCGTAGTTAGGACCAGACTGAACTTCTCCCTCCATGAGACTATTATCTAAACTTGCTCCATCTCGAGAATCATCAGGACCAAGAATATCGTCCATGGCCGCCGATTTGGCCAGGTTTGCCGCATCCTTGGGTAGATTCTTCAGGGCATCATCATCAAAGTTATACTCAACGTCGTCAATATACTTTTTTCTTTTTGTATTTCTGCCAGATCGTCTCTTCTCTGATCCTTACACAAATTGATCTTTAGAAGGAGAACATCATTATACAACTTTTTAACAACATTTTGAAAACTTGAATAACCAAGTCTATGAAACTGATAGGAAAATCTTCAATAATAAATGGTAAAGTTTATGAATATAATTTCTGAATCATTTATAAAAGAAGGATTAAACTGAGTCAAGAGGCTAGGTTAGAACACAAGAACGAACTTACACAATACAGAAATTGTGACTTGGCACAGTTTGCAAATGAGGCTTTAAAACAAAAATCATTAATTCTTCAAAAAAACAGGAATAGGCAGCATGGAAAAAAACATATCAAAATTTAAAACAGGGAACACTCCCATAAAATACGACCAGAACAAAAATCCGGGAACACTTTCTTGAAATAAGACCAGAACAAAAATCCGGGAGGACTTTCTTGAAGTAAGGCCAAAACAAAAATCAGGAAACACTCCCTTGAAATGAGACCGGAACAAAATTCCGGTAACACTTTCTTGAAAAAGACCATGATATGAAGAAAAATTAAAAAGAAGAAAAAGGGAATACTAAAATTTTAAAAAGACCAGGACAAGATGGAGGAAACACTCCCTTTAACAAGATCTATAAAAAGGGATTGTTCACCTGATTCGTCCTCTGTAGGTGAGGGTGGAGGAGTTTTCTCTAGATCTAGATCAGATCCTTCACTGTTAGTTCTCTTCCTCTTATTCTTCTTAGAGAATTGAAGTAATGTTCTGAAAACATAAATAATTATAATTCCCCCATGTAAAAGATGATAAAGCCGAGAGGATTTTTACGGTTTTTATTTATGTATTCCTATAATTGGGGTCTTTATTAGGCTTAACACACTGCTGAAGAATTTAAAGAAGTAGATAGATGCCATTAATCGTCATTTTTTTTTAAGGTTTTGTTCGCAATTTTTTCATCCTTTGTACACTAAAAGATTAATTACCGATTGAAGAACTTTGAGATTGTAAAAAATTCTTACTTGCTAAGTTTTGGCCGTTTCGGTGTCGGCATTTTGATCTTGGGCGGAGACGGCATTTTCTTCTTCTCCTCTGGCTCCTCTTCTTCTTTAGGAAGCGGAGAGGTTGCCAAGGCGGAGGTTGAAGGATCGGAGGCTGAGGGGGCGGAGGTCGAGGGGGCCGAGTCGGGCCCAGGTGACATTTCGTCGACATCTCCGTTCTCTACCGGAAGTTGAGGAGGTAGGAATGAGTCTAGGGGTACCTCAACCTTCTCCATAAACTCCTCGGATAGTGCACCAGGTTCAGGTTTCTTCTTCCGGTTGTATTGTCTACAAAATAAAAAAATAATTTAAAAAACAAAAAATCAAAATCAAGTTTTGGAAAACTTTTCATGATCCATCAAAACCCGAAATATTTACCTTTTCGGTTTCTTTTCCGTGTTGTTTGGATCTATTGGTTCTCCGAATTCATCAAGTTTTACTTTAGGTTTAGGTCCGCGCTTCTTAGGAACTTTAGGTTCAAGATCCTTTTCAGCCCTAAAGAAAAAAAATAAGAAAAAAAATAAATTCATATATTCGTCCGAATTTCTAATTTTAACTCCACAAAAAAAATGTATTCTGTCATTTTAATTTGCCAAAAACTTTCAACAAATTTTTTTCACGAAATTTTAGTGACCATTACATTTACAATCCCTTTAAACGAGGTTTATACTTCCAAAAAAATATTCTTACTTGGGTTTTTTCTCTTTAGGCTCTCTTTGTTTTTTAGGCATTCTTTTAGGGAAATCCATCATTTCCTCGTCAAAGTTCTCTGCGTACGGATCCTAAAATAACGACAAATTATTATCATACTAGCTCTATTACCCGGCGTTGACAGATGAATTATAAATAAACTTAAGAGAAATAAAATTTTTGAAAAATTTCAGCCAATTTGGTTCAGCCGTTTGTTTTTAGATATAAGTTGAAATCCGATGCAAGATTTTTCTTCCAAATTGAAGTCTGTTAAATAAGATGAATAGGTAAAATGTGAAACCGCAAGGTCAACAAATATATCAAGACATCACTAAAAAAAAGTCAAATGTATAAATGCAAAACAAGAAAATTAAAATTAACATTAAAATTATTAAACAGTCAAAACTTTCTAAAAGCTAAGAACTAACACTAGCTTCAACATTAAAAATTTAATTAGTTAAATTGAACAAAATTAAGTGTTATCTCAGGGAGAAATCTAGCGTGAGCTCTGCTAGGTTTAACTGGTTTCATTTTTTACAACAAGTAAAGGTTATTTAGCAACTCTAATTTACTAGATCAATAGTTTAAACATTAAACGGTGGAGGCAACGGAATACAATTATATAAATTCTAAGGTTAAAATGACCATGACTAAACAGGGGTGTCTATTTTCCTGAACAATAATTTTTATTCCCCTCACCCCTCCTTTTAGAAAATTATCTTTACCCAAATGTTATAAATGGATGCGCGACGCGGCATTTTTTTTGGGGGTTTTTTCTCTGAATTGGGGAAAATAAATGATTTTATGGGTAAGAAGTGTCAAAAAGAATGAAAAAACTTGATTTTCTTCTATTTCCCCAATTAATCAAAAATCTTTCCCCCCCCCCCCCACTCGTGATGTACTCCTGAAAAATATACAACCCTGTGATTAAATCAAAACTAAATCTGAGGGAGGATAAATTAGGAGGTTTTTATTATAATAGAAAAAGTAATGAACGCTAGGAAAGGAAACAAAAATTTAGTAAAAAATAAGTTTTGAAAAGAATGCGATCTATCAAACGAAATGTATCATGCACAGCGTTGAGGGAGAGGCACATTACTCTACAGAGGGCAGCTTTTATTTTTATCGTTAGAGGATGGGTGGAAGGGGGGGTGATATTTGAGCATAATATTCAAAACTTTTAAATTCATAATTTTTAAGATCAGTCTTTTTCAAAATATCATTAAATTCCTACATATGCATATGCTAAAATTCCATGATATCGATTTTAACATCGTTCTTAACATAATGATAAAGTTCATTATTCAAGGAAATAATGTATCTGAAAATTATAAATATATAACCGTATGTTAAAAATTAAACAAATTAGCAGCATGCATTTACAGCTTTAAATTATCATGCTCTAAAAACGCTCTAGCTTCTATAATTGTTCTTATCTAGGACAGGCAAGGATACAGAAATTATTCAAGGAGCAATGAAAAAATATTTGAAATTTTGATGATTCATAAACCTTCCCTGGGCTCCCTAGATGTCCCACAAAAAATTTGGGCCCGATCGGTTCAGCCGTTTTGACGTTTATTGGATACAAACAAACAAACAAACAGACAAACAAACAGACAGACAAACAAGCCAAATTTATATATAGATTTCCGTATACACTATACGCTTCGTTTAAGTTTTGAAGTCGTTTGTGAAATAAAACAGGGAAAGAGAAAGGTAGAATCACAGATGGGAAGAAAACAAGTTTAACGTAACAATCGAATTATAACAAGAAAATAGTTAAGGAAAAATCGAAACAAATAAAAGAAACAATTCCAATCCAAAGAAAAGTAAAGATAAAATAAGAAGAGGAAAAGAAGGAAGGTGTAAATTAGGATTCAACTTCTCGCTAGAGGTATTAAAAAATAAAAAAACGACATATTTTTTCATTTTAACTCTTTTTTACCAAATCTATAAATCAATGTTTATATAAATACTTTTAGCTTCAGATTGTCGACAAGTTCCTTCATATTGGAACTTCATTTCACGTGACTCCCATTTATAGAGTGGCATGTGAGATATCCATAATCTTTTATTTGAAAATTGATAATTTTTTTAATGTAGTTACTCCAAACATTGACTTGCGTATTGATGCTGAGAACAATGGAAAAATGAGAAAAATCCCCATATTATTTATCAGATAATGATGTGAAGGGTAGTTATCAATCGAGCATACACCTCTTTATATGAAAGGTCTCTATATAATTCCAAAGACAACAGTCCCTTTGTATAAACAATGAAGAAGATTTAAAAAATTCTTAAAGATCTAACCTGCATTGGTTGGCCATGTGGACCTGGAGGTGGACCACCTGGTCCACCTGGTCCCATCTGAGAAGGGTGAGGTCCCCATCCTGCCTGCTGTGCTACCTGAGCTTGCAGTACGTGCATCCGTCCTTGTAGCTCGTTCATCTGAATATAAAGAAACTTTCAGGTTTGACTTATGTAAAGGTTCTTTAGTAAAAACATAAAATCTAGAAGTGCATTATAGAAAAAGTTTTGGTTAAAATATTTTCATTTCGTCGGAATCATGTCGTTTTGTTGTCTTAACAATACATTGAATACTCTTTAGATGAACTGCTTTTAACTATGTATAAAAATGGAGAAAGAATGTAAGCATGCATCTGTGAATGGTCAATTGCTCAATTATTTTTCAAAAGTTTCTTTTGTAAGAAGTTCAGCTGGATTCAATCATTAATAGTTTAGAATATATATTGCTAAAGAGAAAACAAGAGAAAACTTTCTTAATTCAATATTTACATATTTGTTTAAGTTATCAGAAATTAGCACACAATTGTGAATAAAAACCTAGAAAGTATTGTCACCTGTTGCGAGTTGGCTGGGCTCTGAGGTTGTTGAAAGAGCTGTTGGATGTGCTGATGCAAAGCCTGCATCTCCATCATTATCGGATGATTTGGTGGCAAGAATCCCATAGGTCCCATTGGACCCCTCGGGCCTCCCGGACCCATTGGTCCTCCTGGACCTGTGGTATTTCCTGGGCCCATTGAACCTCCTGGACCCATGGGACTTCCTGGACCCATGGGACCTCCTGGACCCATGGGACCTCCTGGACCCATAGGACCTCCCGTGCCCATTGGTCCTCCTGGACCCATTGGACCCATTGCTCCAGCTGGACCTTTTTGACCAGGTCCCATCTGACCTGCAGGACCCATTAAACCTACGGAACCCATAAGACCTCCAGAAGGAACCATCATGGACATATGAGGACCCGTAGGACCCCCAACTTTAGATGATCCAGCAGAGCTCATGTTTTCTGAAGGACCCTTTAAACTCTCAGATCCTATTGTTCCTCCCTGTCCCCCTTTAGGCATTTCTTCTCCAGTGGACCCAGAACTTACAGGTGGTCTAGGACCTTCAGTGAGGTGAGGACCTCCGGGTCCCATAGGAACTGGTCCATTAGGTCCCATCATCATTCTTGGTCTAACTCCGTCAGGGCCAGGCATTCCAGGTCCATATCCGTGAGGAAATGTCCCATGCATGCCAGGATGCATGCCTGGATGCATCGGACCATTAGCACCCATCATCATTCTAGGGTCCATTGGTCCCATATTTATGCCAGGACGAATACCTTGTTGTCCTTGTTGCATTCCAACTGTGGAGGTTGAGGGGGCTGACCCATCAGATATTGCCGGTTTCTCTGTAGTGTCAGGTTCAGCTTCATCAGATTCTTCATCTTCAGAGTCAGGTTTGATGTCAGTATCATCTGATGTAGAAGTAGGAACTGCTGTCTCAGTACTGCTTTGAGGAATACTATCACTCTGAGTAGGTTCATGACACTCGTCAACAGATTGACTAACTTGATCCTGGTGCTCAGCATCAATGGATGTGTTGAGTGGGCTACAAGGTTGTTTTGCAGTGTCAGACTTATTTGTTGTAATATTTGTAGATGGAGAAGGGTCTGATAATTGTGTATTGCCAGGTGGGAAAGAGTTCGTCTTCATGTCTGGAAACCCAGGTTTCACAGTAGATGTAGGGGCTGAGGATATCATCTCATTACTTGGTTGTCGGTGCCTCAAGGTTTCTTCAGATGTGTCTAAACTGTCTGGTTTATTTTGCATCCCGGGAAAATCATACTGTCCTGGATGTCCCTGATTTCCATGCTGACCTGGATAACCAGGATGGTTAGGATATTGTCCCATTTCTGGATATTGTGACAAACCTTCAAGTTTCCCTGTCATCCCCTGGTTAACATCATGATTATTCATCCCAGGTATGCTATTTTGTCCATTTCCAGAACCTTCCATACTTCTTCCAGGTTCATTTCCTTTTTGATCCTCCCCAGCCTTTGCACTGGGTTTGGTGTTCGAACTTTCCTTCATTCCAGGATATCCAGAAGCCCTGTGCTGCATTCTCATCATATCCATTGGCTTGCCAGGGTGCATACTCCTTGGCATACCCGGATGCTGCTGAAATCCTTGATGGGGATATATTTGTTGAACATTGGGTCCTTGGGATCCATGTGATGGTAACTGGTTCATATTTGATTGAGGGGGAGCTGGTGGATGTCCAGGTCCCAAAGGATGGGTTGAGTTTTGAGGATGGGTTGAAGGTTGAGAATGAATTGAGGACTGAGAATGAATTGGGGTCTGAGGATGGGTGAGAGCTTGTGGATGACCAGATGCTTGAGGATGGTTTAAAGCATGAGGATGACCAGATTGGGGATAGCCTGGTGCTTGAGGGTGATGAGAGGACTGAGGATGGCTTGGAAGCTGAGAATGATTTGATGATTGATGAGGATGATTCATGTTTCCAGGTTGGGATGAGGGTCTTGACTGCCACTGTTGGGGGGACAGTGGAGTACCTGCTCCTCTAGTGGAAGGAGAAGAGGGAGTCTTTCCTGCCATAGGACTACTACTCTGTGCTAATCCTTGAGAATGAGGTGAGCCTCTGTGCTGTTGACTGCTCTCTGCTACCTTAGATCCTGGCATAACCATTTGTTCTAATTGCTGTAAACTGTTAATAGAAGATTGTCCAGGGGTTGGAGGATTTCCCGTAGGAGTCATCCTACCTGGCAAACTGTTAGGTGTCCTAGGTGGTGCAGGTGATGATACTGGACTTAAAGTGTGGGGAGCAGGAGAGTTTGTTGAGGGGGGTAAAGGAGATCTTTGAGGCATTGGACTGGCCTGGCTGTGTGGAGACATCTGAGGAGATGGTTGTGGTGGAAAAGGAGAACGGTACATGGGACTGCTCCCTCCGGTTCCAGGTGATGGATTGGCTCCTTGACTACTAGAAGTTTGCGGCATGTTCGACATCATTCCAGGTGGGAGCTGAGGAACTCCAGGGGGAATATTAGTACTGTTCTGCATGCTCTGGGGCATACCAGGGCCTCCTGCCATCATTGACATGCTAGCACTTCCTTTACCCATTATTTGAGGGCTACCAGGGGGAAGTCCTGAACCTTGACTTCCTGGCATAGGTCTTTGTCCCATGCTGGCAGATGGCATAGGTTGGGATCCAGGTCCCATGCCTTGGGATCCTGGTACCATTTGTTGGTTCATTGAAGGCATCCCAGGAACACCATGTCCACTTTGATTAAGCTGGGAAGCTTGTGATGAAGTTGGCATACTCTGTGTATGTAGCCCACCAGACTGACTGGCTTGAACAGAGGACTGCTGACTTGGAGATCTTCCAGCATTTGGATTAACTCCAGCTAGCTGAGAACCTGGCATACCACCAGGATATTGGCCTGGACCTTGACCAGGCATTCTATACTGGCCTCCGGGATACTGACTTGTCTGGGGAATTGACTGTGGGGATCCTTGTTGGTAAGGATTAGATAAACTGGGGTGAGGGGAACTTGATGAATATCCAGGTTTCATTTGTCCGGAGGGATGATATCCAGGCATACCAGCCTGTCCAGGATATCCTTGTGGAATGTTCTGTGAAGATCCTGGCGGATACTGTGGGTAACCTTGTCTATAGTTTTGGTGAGAACTGGACGATGTTCTAGGATCATACCCTGGATAGTGTCCGGGTAAACCTGGGCCACCTGGTGGATAACCAGGTTGACCATACATCCTAGGATTACCCATCTGCATATTCTGAGCACTCTGCTGCCAACTCATATTACCCTGACTTGGGGGATAGCCTGGATAATTTTGCGTTGCACTTGTAGGTCCTCCCATCATACCTTGAGGTACAGATGGAGCTGTGTATCCTTGTCTGCCTCCTGGGTTAGGGGGGTAACCAGGAGGCCCACGACCAGGGCCATTAGCATAACCATACTGTGATGGAGCTCCAGGTCTGTATGTGTAGTCACTGTACCCCGGCATCTTCTGGTTCAGCTGCTGGTAGTGCTGATTGTACTGGGCGGACTCGGTGTTGTGTCCCATCAATCCCTGATCCATTTGAACTTGGGGCTGCTGTGCCTGTCCGCTGGCATCCAGCTCTCCAGGACCAGCACCAAAATTTCCCAGATTACCGAGGTCTTCCAGATTCAGCTCCTCGCCGAATATATCGGTAAAATTTTCCATTTTTAAGCTAGAAGATGATTAGCTAGCTTAATATTAACATTGTGTGGTGAGTGTGGAAAGTCCACTTAAAATTGTGTCCACTGTTCATGAGCCTGCCTCAAAACCATCTGAAAAAATAAAAACTTTTAATTTCAAAAAAACTATTTTTAAAACAAAGCTGCATGGAAAATAAAGTTAAAGATAATTTTGCATTGTATTCAATACAAGCTGTGGAAACTATACTGATACCGTAAAAACACATTAATGAAATAAATAAAATTATAAATAAAAGTTTCTCCTTCTTAATATTTTTTTTTAATGAATGAAAACTTATTTCATTATTTTGTTTAAGGCTTATGAAAAATAGATATTAAAATTTTGAAAAGATTAATAGCCAAAGAAAAAACTTGAAATTTTAGATTCTATAACTATATGAGTAAAAGATACTAGGGGAGTGGTCACTAAGCTGAGGTGAGTGATGGTGAAGATATGTTGGACAGAACAAGGGGAAAAGCCATACGCTTATGTAATTCAAATCACAAGCTACAGCATTCACCCTTGTTCTAACCAACAAAGAAGATGCTTCCTACTCTCTTCTCTTTTCAGGTTTTTCAAGATTCTCTTTTCTTTTTTTTCAGTTTTCTCGATATGATCAGTTTTGGAACTTATACATCTCAAGAATTTGAGATGAATCATCAACAATTTTTTCTGTTCCTCCTGTTTAACACTAAATTCTAACGTTTCTACAATATTCTCCCGATTCCATAACATTGTCTTGTTTCTACTACATTCTACTGTTCCCACTACATTCTATTGTTCCCCATATATTTTCCTGTTCCCCCTACATTTTCCTGTTCCCCCTACATTCTCCTGTTCCCCCTACACTCTCCTGTTCCCCCTACATTCTCCTGTTCCCCCTACATTCTCCTGTTCCTCCTACATTCTCCTGTTCCCATGACATTCTCTTGTCCCCATAACATTCTCCTGTTCCCATAACATCCTGTTCCCATAACATTCTCATGTTCCCAAAACATTCTCCCGTTTCCACTCCATTCTCCTATTTCTACTTTATCGACTAATTACTTCTACATTCACCTGATAACACTTAACTCTACTTTTACCATTACATTTTCCTGTTTCACTACAATTTCAGGTTTCCCTACATTTTCTTGTCTCCACACCATTCTCAAGTTTCCACTACATGTGTATATTTGACATACATTCTCCTGCTTCCACTATATTCGCCCAGTTGCCCTACAATCTCATTTCCACTACATTCTTTAATTTCCATTACATTCTCCTGATTCCTCTACATTCTCATGTTTCCACTACATTCTCCTGATTCCTCTATATTCTCATGTTTCCACTACATTCTCCTTTTTGCAATGCATTCTTCTGTTTGCAATACATTCTCCTGATTCCACTACATTTTTCTATTTCCCCTTCATTTTCCTGCGTCTACTACATTTTTCAGTTTTCCCTACATTCTCGTTTCCACTACATTTACTTGATTTCTCTACATTCTCCAGTTTCCCCTACATTCTTCTGTTTCTCATACATTCTCCTACATTCTCCTGTTCTTCCTATATTCTCCTATTTCCACTAAATTTTCGTTTCCACTACATTCTCCTGATACATTTACATTCTACATTCTCCAAATTCTTCTACATTCTCCTGATTCCCCTACATTCTCTGGTTTTCTCTGCATTTACTCATCTATTCAATGAATCTACAAGTCTTGCTGTTACTTAAAATTTACGCTTTAATTTTCAGATCCAACTTTTCTCTTTTGCAACCATTCCCTATCGTTTAACCCATTTCCTCATTTCCTAAATGTTTAACTATCCCCCTCGCCCCCCCCCCTTAATTTCCACAACCCCTATATCAACTACTTTCATGTTTCAACTACTTTCATGTTCCAACCAAGCTTTCTATTATAAAACCAACCTAATCTTCCTATTTCAGACCTTTAACTAATCCTAACTTCCCTCCTATTGCTACTATTCCTATTTCTCATCCTATTACCTAGTTTCCCAATACATAATAATATCAACACACTTTAAAATCTTCTTACTAATCTATGTTTTAGATTCCATATTACTTGATCACTGTTTGGTTGAAATTGGTTGAAAGGAAACAGAAAAATCACTTTTGTATACCCCTGAGATGAGCTCTAGGCTTAAAATGTAAAACCAGAAGATAAAACTTTGAAAAATGTAAAATAAACTAAGGGTAAAATAAGAAGTGTTAAAAACGGCTTGATTATGCTCGGCTTTAGGACCCCTCCCATTCAAAACTAAAAAGAATAATTTGCCGAACCTTTATAATTAATCATAGATACTTAAAATGGGGTAAGAAGGTAAAAATATAGTATAATTGGAGTTTATAGTTGGGTATATCCTGTATACTGTAGTAGGAGGTAGATAATCTAACATGGACTCGTCCAAACACAGGGGGAGGAAGGGTAGTATGCTGTTCACCAAAAGCCGGCTTTGAACCTGATATTCTTCTTCTTTTTGGCATTTTTTATCACATTTTCTGTTTTCGATCACTTTCTGTTCTTCGTTGCTTGAAGATATCTCCAGTTTTCTCAATTAATTTCATTTTATATCACGTTCATTTCGACTATGAGCGGCCATATTTTCTGTTCAACACATTTTCTGGCGAAGATATCATAAATTTAAAACAAAAGTAAACACAAGTCGAGATTTTTCTTAGCAAATATGAAAAAGGGAAATCTAATGAATCGTTTGGACAAAAATTATAACTCTTACCAAGTTTATAGCGTTTACGGCTCCATTTTACAGATATCTTGTCAGCTCAATTCAGTGGACATTGCTCTCGAGTGCAAATTGATAATATCAAGGAAATGAACGCGAATCTTCTATTGGTGTAGAACTCTCGGCTAGCCGACTCTCCACCAATCACGTTGCTCGTAGCATTCAGCTTCGGCCAATGAGAGCCAAGGAACCGGAGAGAGGCTGAAGAATCGATATCAGTGAGAAACTTGTTCAAGTTTTTGTCATCTACCCTCTCTCCACCCAGTACCCATGCCTAGGACGGATACCACTGAGCTAGCCTCTTTCTCTTCAAACCCGGCATCTGGATTCTAGATTCTCTAACAAAACCAAACTAACACTTCACTCAAATCAACTACGTCATAAACAATGCTTTTACAAATAATAATGTACACATTTAATAAAAAAGATAGGACGGATCGAACAGAATTGATTAATCCAAGTATACAGGGANAGAAGAGGAGTAAGGTTGGATAGGAGAAGAGGAGTAAGGTTGGATAGGAGAAGAGGAGTAAGGTTGGATAGGATAAGAGGAGTAAGGTTGGATAGGAGAAGAGGAGTAAGGATGAATAGGAGAAGAGGAGTAAGGTTGAATAGGAGAAGAGGAGTAAGGTTGGATAGGAGAAGAGAAGTAAGGATGAATAGGAGAGATAAGAGGAAGGTTGGATAGGAGAATAGGAGTAAGGTTGGATATAGGAGAATATATGAGTAAGGTTGGATAGGAGAATAGGAAATGTTGGATAAGAGATAAGAGGAGTAAGGTTGGATAGGAGAAGAGGAGTAAGGTTGGATAGGAGAAGAGGAGTAAGGTTGGAAAGGAGAAGAGGAGTAAGGTTGGATAGGAGAAGAAGAATAAGGTTGGATAGGAGAAGAAGAATAAGGTTGGATAGGAGAAGAGGAGTAAGGTTGGATAGGATAAGAGAAGTAAGGTTGGATAATAGAAGAGGAGTAAGGTTGGATAGGAGAAGAGGAACAGGTTGGATAGGATTGAATGAAGAATATGATTAAGGTTGGATAGGAGAAGAGAAGTAAGGTTGAATTGGAGAAGAGGAGTAAGGTTGGATAGAAGAGGAGGAGTAAGGTTGGATAGGAGAAGAGGAGTAAGGTTGGATAGGAGAATAGGAGTACAGTTGGATAGGAGAAGAGGAGTAAGGATGGACAGGAGAAGAGGAGTAAGGTTGGATAGGAGAATAGGAGTACAGTTGGAAAGGAGAAGAGGAGTATGGTTAGATAGGAGAAGAGGAGTAAGGATGGATAGGAAAAGAGAAGTAAGGTTGGATAGGGGAAGAGGAGTAAGGTTGGATAGGAGAATAGGAGTTAGGTTGGATAGGATTGAAAGAAGAATATAATTAAGGTTGGATAGGAGAAGAGAAGTAAGGTTGGATTGGAGAAGAGGAGTAAGGTTGGATAGGATAAGAGAAGTAAGGTTGGATAGGAGAAGAGGAGTAAGTTTGGAAAGGAGAATAGGAGTTAGGTTGGATAGGATTGAAAGAAGAATATGATTAAGGTTGGATAGGAGAAGAGGAGTAAGGTTGGATAGGAGAATAGGAGTAAGGTTGGATAGGAGAATAGGAGTAAGGTTGGATAGGAGAATAGGAAAGGTTGGATAAGAGATAAGGTTGGATAGAATAAGAGAAGTAAGGTTGGATAGGAGAAGAGGAATGGATATGAGAAGAGGAGTAAGGTTAGATAGGATAAGAGGAGTAGGTTGGATAGGAAAAGAGGAGTAAGGATAGATAGGAGAAATGGAGTAAGGTTGGATAGGAGAAGAGGAGTAAGGTTGGATAGGATAAGAGAAGTAAGGTTGGATAGGAGAAGAGGAGCAAGGATGGATAGGAAAAGAGGAGTAAGGTTGGATAGGAAAAGAGGAGTAAGTATGAATAGGAGAAGAGAAGTAAGGATGGATAGGAGAAGAGTAGTAAGGTTGGATAGGAGAAGAGAAGTAAGGTTGGATAGGAGAAGAGGAGTAAGGTTGGATAGGAGAAGAAGAGTAAGGTTGGATAGGAGAAGAGGAGCAAGGATGGATAGGAGAAGAGGAGTAAGGTTGGATAGGAAAAGAGGAGTAAGGATGAATAGGAGAAGAGAAGTATGGATGGATAGGAGAAGAGGAGTAAGGATGGATAGGAGAAGAGAAGAAAGGTTGGATAGGAGAAGAGGAGTAAGGTTGGATAGGAGAAGAGGAGTAAGGTTGGATAGGAGAAGAGGAGTAAGGTTGGATAGGAGAAGAGGAGTAAGGTTGGATAGGATAAGATGAGTAAGGATGGATAGGATAAGATTAGTAAGGTTGGATTGGAGAAGAGGAGTAAGGTTGGATAGGAGAAGAGGAAAAAGGTGGGATAGGAGAAGAGGAGTAAGGTTGAAGAGGAGAAGAGAAGCCAGGTTAAGGTGTACAGAACGAGTTTACAATTACAAATTGATGATTATATTAACAGTACAAGTATAAAGCAATTAGTTGGAAAATAGCTTTTGGCTGTTTTGATTATTTTTTCCACCTAAATTTTAGTAATAATAACAAAACATTTCAATTAAATAGATTTAAGGAGAACGATTAGAGATCAGGGTGCGAATTTATCTTATGCAAAATAGTTTATACATTAATTCGAATAACTAGAGTTTAAAGTAATTTTCTGACATGTACACAACAAATATCAAAGCATATTAAAACATATCTAATTAGTTTTACATGAATAGCAATTCGGTTTATAACACATTGTCATGTAATTTTCAAAAAGAGAATTTAATAGTCTATTTTTAAATATACTTATAGAGTTGCTTCTTTTTAAGGAGAAGAGAAGTAAGGATGAATAGGAGAAGAGGAGTAGGTTGAATAGGAGAAGAGGAGTAAGGTTTGATAGGAGAAGAGGAGTAAGGTTGGATAGGAGAAGAGGAGCAAGGTTGGATAGGAGAAGAGGAGTAAGGATGAATAGGAGAAGAGGAGTAGGTTGAATAGGAGAAGAGGAGCAAGGTTGGATGAGAAGAGAACTAAGGATGGATAGGAGAAGAGAACTAAGGATGGATTGGAGAAGAGGATTAAGGTTGAAAAGGAGAAGAGGAGTAAGGTTGGATGAGAAGAGAAGTAAGGATGGATTGGAAAGAAGAAATAAAGATGATGAAAAGAAACATTCAATGGTTTTCTTGTTTCTGATTTGTAAGAAATAATCACGCAACCTCCACCTCATAAACATACTTTGTTCACGGTAAAACTGTTAATTTGGTTTACCTTAAATTTGATTTTAGTAACAATGAGATTAGAACGATATAATTTTTTATCTTAAAAGTGTTTAACTCTGTTTGTTTCAATGCCTTTATAAAGAAAGTGCTTTAGTAACTAAAAACAGTTCAAGTCTGATTGGAATTAAACTTTAAAGTTAATCAGTCAAGAGAAAAAGAAAGAAACAGAATAATTTAGAAGATCAATAAACTACTTCAATTTGACAAATTAAACTTCTCATGAGAGGACGGTTTTTTTAATCGGGAGGGGAGTGAGGGTAGGGATGAGTTAACGTATAAACGAGTTTGTGGCATGAAAATAAACAAATATAAAAATACAAGCAGCTGAAATGTACCAATGTTTTATACAGAAATCACTAAAGAAAAACTGATAGTTTTGATTTATAGGGATCGCAAAAGCCAAATGATTAATAAAATTGGTGAAAGGGCCGCAAGTGGTAAAACTTGATAGTTTTCATACAACCGCTCTAAATAAGAGTAAAAATTTATATAAGACTAAGTTAAGGACTGATAAAATTAAATAATCTACAAGATTAATAAAGGATCATAAAGGGCCTAATATAAGATCATAAAAATGTAAGATACAACAGCTGATAAAAACGAAAAAGCTGATAGTTTTGATGTAATTAAGGATCGACGGATAGAAACGAAAAATTATTAGAATTAATTAAAAGACTGAAAAAGACAAAGGCATGCAGGTTTGGCTTATAAATACAAAAAAAAGCTGATCAGACCGAATTAAAAAGACAAATAATTAATAAAATCGATAACGTTACTGATAAAAACAGTCGATCTTAGAATTAAATAATACAGCCGATAGAATTTGTAAAAAGACAAAAAAGATGAAAATTATCAAAATGACGAAAAAGGGGTAAAAAAAATTGATGTATGGACTAATAGCTGATAGGACTGAGAAAACAGCAGATTTTTAAGAGCAAGCAAAGATACCTCAACGCATAGCTAGAAACTAAAATATGTGTATAGTGTCTTCTAAATCTAGCTGAGATAAATTGAATGAGATGTTATCTCAATCAAAATATGTGCTACATACATATGTGTATAATGTATATGTACGTACGTAGATAATCATAAATTGTTATGAATAAGTAGCGTTCCGCAGCCCTTTCCCGAGAGATACGAATTTACGATGTTCCATCATATGAAAATTGAACATTTGTTTAAATATATATTTGCAACGATTTCCCCCCCCCCCCCCCCCCCCCGGAGTAACCAGAGTAAGAAGCATTCGGTTTCTTTTATTTGAAATAAAACGTGTTTTGGTCTATAATTTAACAATCTTTTACTTTACGGATTTGCTTATTCGACATTTTTTCATTCAGAAATGCATATGCCGACAAAAAACATTTAGGAAAAAAGGCTAAAAAATTATGTTTAATGGGTCAAATTGTGATCGAAAGTCACAGCTTCCTGGAATATTGAAAGAACCGCTAGAAAGTTATTACTTGGGATCGTCATGCATGTACACAGTACACTGTACACGGTTACCCATACAGGATGAGACTGTAAAGACGACTAGAAAATCTAAAGATTTCCCTAGGTATGATTTGGAAAAAAAAGAAGCAAGTTTACAATTTTAGGGAATCATGAATATGATGAAACAGACAATGTTACTTCCGGAAAGTCTTCTCTGAAGTCTCATCTTTTGTTGGTAACCCTGTTGTGAACCATATCCCTAATGTAACCCTGTTTCAAAGGTCGTCTCCGACTAAGTGTACCTCCGTTGAATACTCCGTACTCCGGCCATCCGCCAAACCAAACCTTGCCAAGGATTTTACATAAATAACCTCATGGAGCTAGTAAAACTTAAAGTGCATTAAAAATAACCTATTTAAACACAATTTTCAGTGAATCATTTACATATAAACAGTGAACTTATTTAACCAGATAAATATTCATTTCAGAAGAATTAAATTGCTTTAGACTTCAGTACAAACAACTTTTCGCCGTACCACAGTTTTCTAGATCGTAAGTTCATGTTTGATTCACAATGGTACCCATTTAAAATATTTCATTCATTAATTCCCATCGGTACCTTAAAATATTTCTTGGTCGATTCACAACAGAACCTTTCCTTTAAAATTCCTATTTATCAGTTTCAATAAACATTTAATTAGTTGTAATCAAATAGTTACATTTTATTAACAATTATTATTCACATTTGTTCGTCAATAACAATCTGTATTTTGTAGGAAACTTCGTTACTGAATAAACATTTTCAAGAAGTTCTCATCTATGTGTGTCTGGTAGAAGAGAGTGTTTCCCTAACCTAATTGCCTTTGGAATTGTCATTCATCGAGTTACCTATCCTTTGCTTAAGTACATCCCGCTTCGAGTAACTTTCCTTTTGTTCAGCTCACACCTGTATATATTTATTTCTTATTGTTTATTTACTTATTTAGGACTGGTGTATTCATCATTCCCCGGTTCCAAGTTTTTAATTTTACTTAAAAAATAACACCTCCTTTCAAAACTATACTCAGGAATTATCGATTGCTTAAATAATCAACTTAGTACATAAAATGATTCTGTGTCAACTGCACATGCAGTTATTGTTGTCTCGTGTAACGTGTTCATTGAAATCTCTAAAATCATAACTTGAGTCTAACAGTCGTCTTCGTATTCCGCGGTTGTATAGAGATAAGACAGTAACAGCTTAGAACCAGAAAACTCTGAAATAGGAATATGACTTTTAAAATCAAGTTATAACTTTAAAAAGTCCAATAAACATGAGACACAGCAATTGTACATTGTAAACAGTTTAACAGACCCATTTTACTAAACTAGTAATTAAACAAGTGTCTATAGTAAAATTGCATTCTTTGAAACAACATCAAATACACTTAAGTATTGATATAATGTGGTCTCCCAATTTCATTGTTTTCTGGTTATTACTATATCATAATTTTATCTTTTAAATACCCGAAAATATTTTTTTTTGTCTATATATGTGCTTTACTTGTCGGTTTGTTTGTTTGTATCCAATGAACGATAGCTCGGATGAACCAATCTCACATGATCTCAAAGAAGGTTTATTGATGGTTAAAACTGAAAAATATCTATATTCCTTATTGGAAAAAAGTAGAAAAATGTAAGCAGAAAAATCCAAGAAATATACTATTAATAAATAAAATTGACAGCTTGAAAAACAACGGTTAACAGCTAAAATTGTTCCTGGAGAAGGGGTGCCCTGCAAAACCCAGCACATTATCAAATTAAAGCACAAAATATCTTGGAGTTTGAATTGGGAGTTTTCATAATTGAGAAAAATTTGAGCGACATTTTTATCCTGACCGACCATAAACCAGCAGGCAGCAAAGATCATATCAGATTTAACTAAAATATGGATTTAGTGAATCAAAGGTTCCATTGCTTACGCAAAAATCGATGAGAATTTTACCAACTAATTTTTAAAACTTAAAGGGAGTGTTCGCGAAAAAATGAAAGGGGATTTTCATCCATGCCCAAAACTCGTTTATACGTTAATTCATGCCCCTAATCCCTAACTCCCCTTCCCGATTAAAAAAACGGCCCTTTCTATCTGTTGCGCCTTTAAGGAGAAAATTGTTGAAAACGACACATACCGAAGGACGTAGCGTCCATGCAATTCAAAAAGTAGCAACATTCTACTCGGATCGTAGAAAAACGTAATTGTATTCAAACCAACCAACTAAATTCGATTTCTTAACGTTCTATCTTTTTTTGGGCAATGCTGCAGACGCAGAAAAAAAAATTATCCATTTGCTAAAAGAAACAATTAAGCATCAATAAATGGTTTTGTTATTAAGGTTAAGTTGTTAAAATTCTGTGAAATCTCTATTTTTTAGAGTAATCCTGCAAATTTTAATTTGAAATTTGATCTGAATTGAGAGTGTACAAGAATTCTAAAATATATTTCTTGGTATTATAGTTTTTATTTTAGTATTTTTCAAAGTATTTGCTCAAGTCATCCTAAAAAAGGGGCTCAAATATAAATTGATTATATGTAGTTTATAGGTGGCATTGATCTGAATAAGTGTCAGTGCCCCCCTCCAAGCCCCCCCCCCCACTTCAACAAAACCTAAAGTTGAACCTTTCCCCTAGCAATAGAATATAGTTCTTATTTTCCCATTCATGAATACAATTTTATTTCCTATTTTGAACACTACCCCCCCCCCCTGAACTTGTGGGGGAACCTGCTCCGTAATTACCGGTCTAGTTGCACAGTGGCTGGTAAGCGCGTGCGCGCGCCCTGCGGTAACTAACTGGACATCAGGCAGTAATTCCAGCAGTAGTCTTCAGTTACAATCCAACCTCTAAACCAACATGTTTTCTCCATTCAATCTCCATCCTGGAGCACTAGATCTACATTCTGTTACTCCGGAGAGAGAACATATTTATAATATCTCCAGGAAACGAAGACTGGAGGAGACAGATTTACTCGAGCACCTAGATTATCCGTTCTCAAACCTTATGCGGACAATGGCGGCCAGACATCATTTAAGATCACATGTTCTTTCAGTTCTCAGTCCAGGGAAGAATTTATATAAAAAGATAAAGATGGAGGAGCCCCTGGACCTATCCCTGCTCTCTGACGAGTTTAGAATGGACAAGGAGAACAGTTTTAAGGATATCTCCACCTGGGACGTAGAGAAGGTGGTTGAGTTTGTCTCCGAGCTTGAAGAATGTAAGGATTATGCTCCGATCTTTAAACGGGAGGAGATCGATGGCTCCTGCCTCGTAAAACTGTCCCTGCACCACCTCACCACCTTCCTCGGGATCAAGATCGGACCTGCCGTCAAGCTGCTCATGGTCCTACATGATCGGAGAACAGAGTTGAAAAATGAGCTGTTGTGAAACATGTGACTGTGATAATAAATTTTTGTCTGATAGTAAAATTATCGTTTTATTTTGTAATTAATAAACTAAACTTGCATTTACAATATATATATATATATACTTTTTACTCAATTTTAGTTAGAAGTGTAGAGAAATATTGTTAGATTTAAAATTCGGTGATGGTGATGGACCAAACCTCTATAGAGTAAAAAAAGTAGACGTTAGTTCCACATTTATTGAAAATATATTTCCGTCTGGGTTGACCCTCGTCAGTTCTAACGAAATAATAACCATCAAAATCTATAAAAAAAAAATTTTAAATTGTTAAAAACCACAAGAAAATAAACAAACAAAAATTTATTTTTAAAAGAAAATTTGGGCCGTCAAATGAACATAAGGGAAACAAGCTCAGATTATGAGATGGAAAAAAATATTTGTTCTTAATTTTTACCGGCTTAGAGAACACAGAGGAAAATATGGATTGCTTCACATCGGCATCTTTAAAACCTTTATTTGAGTAAACTGATTGAGAAAAAGTTTGTTTTTTTATAATCATGAAATAAATTAATTATGTCAATTTTCTGATCTCCATAAGTTTTGATCACATTAATGGTTTAAAGAGATGCACTTAAACGTCGATTGTCACATTCTTCTATATATTTTTTGAAAAAGTAATTTTTTCATTAGAACTAACTTATACTCAGCATATCAGGATTCAGTCTTTAATCTGAGCTGAAAACTTTAGAACAGGATATCCTTTTTCCCTATCTGTTAATTAATTGGAGATTAATAACAAGAGGAGAACAAGCAATATTTAATCTGGAGATAAAGAAAAAGAGGAGATCAAGCATTGACCTCGATATCCATCATTCTAAAGTATTCAGCTCTGATTCAATGAAATATTATTATCGGATTATTTAATAAATTACATCAGAAAATATTTGTTCCGAGAAAAATTTTTGAACTTTTTAATCGAAAGGTTTAAAACCCCTAATTAGACATTCCAAACTGAGTTTTAGATTTGTTGAAACTCTCTGTAAAAAGAAATTACGAACATTAATTATGAATTATGAATTATAAATTATGAATTATGAATTATGAATTATGAATTATGAATTATGAATTATGAATTATGAATTATGAATTATTAATTATGAATTATGAATGATTTAAATAATTAATTATGAAGAGTTTATGGAGAGAAGGTAAATATTTAAATGTTTATAATTAATGAAAGACTAGGAACTTTCTGGGATTTCTGGCATGTCCTATTTATTACGGCAACATTTAAACCTTATGTGGAAGATATTCTCTTTTTTTGTCTATAAAAATATACAGTTTGATTATTGTTTCTTCATAAAGTTACTCGTGGATTTTATGCATTAGAGAAACAGAATTTAATTCAAAGAATTAAACATTTTTCAGGATAGAAAAATGACGACATCTTACTCATTGTTTTAAGATAAAGTTTATTAGGTCTGTACCAAATAAATTATCAAGTACAATAGGTGGCAACAGAGAAATAAACCAATTATACACGACGACGTCACAAGTGTCAATTATAATAAGGAAAACGAAATTTTCTCATATTTTTTCCAACTTTAAGTAAAAAATGTAAAAACAGAAAATAAAGAACACAT